ATATCCTCAAAATACGCTGAGGAGATAACACACCAAGGGAGCTGCCTTCATGGAGTGTGTATTCCAGCGCCAAGAGGTAGCAGAAATCCAAAAATCACTGAGGGCCAAAATTATGTTTGGACATTATGTTTCTCATGTAAAATAATTCAAGATTTAGTCAAGCCAGAACTTCACTGATACTTCCCTTATCACGAAGGATCTTGACTCATTAGTCCTTCTTTTGTCCATTGTACCTCATAATTCCTATCCTCAGTCACCTCATGGTCTGAAAACCACTGCTGTAGTCCAGCAAACATATCCATATAGTCCAGGCAACAGGAAGGAGGGATGTGTAGACAAAAGGTCCACCTGTGCAGTCAGCTCTTTTGTAACTGTTTTCCCCAGAAGCCTGGTCCACTATATAGGCTAACAAAAGGGATGTCTAAAAAACAGCATACATAGGCACTCAATGATTTAGGAGATTTGTTAGCAGAAGAGACACAGACAAAAATCTCGCTACAGCAATCTTTTATGTGTATGCAGGACTGGTGTTTGAACTTATTGCCTTATGCTCTCTCTAAGCTTTTTCACTCATGACTGATGATCTACCACTTGAGCAAAGTTTCCACTAAGGCTTTTGGATAGTGAATTGGAGATAAGAATCTCACTGATTTTTCTGCCTCAGCTTGCTTTGAACCTCGATCCTCAGATCAGCCTCCTGGGTGGCTAAGATTATAGGCATGAGCTACCAGCATCTGGTTTTACAGGCATCTTAGTGTTTATCTGTATGTACAGGAATGTGAATATCTCCATAGACAGAAGTACTGTATCAGGAGACATGTTATAAATATGTACTGTTTTTGGTGATGGTGTGCCTTTTGAAAAGTTACATCGTGGGGGGGGGGGTTATGATGGGAAGGGGAAACAAAGGAGGAGGCAAAAATGCTTGATAAGAAATGTACTCATTATCTTGCCCATGTAATTGTAACTCCTCTGTACGGTAGTTTCACAATAAAATAAAAAAAAATACGTGCTCTAAAAGAAAATTTACATGTACAAATCCTAATTTGGTGTTCAATTTCATCTCATTTAAAGATTTTAGAGTATTGATTAACCTATATAAAGTTATTGTTTTAAAAATTATGAACTATAGACTGTCCCTCAGCCCCTTCAGTGAAACCCACTAAAACAAGAAGGAAGTAGGATTTCTTTAGGAGGTCAAGTTTTAGTTGAGGGAAGGGAGTGTTCCTGAGGCCTTGGTTTCTTCCTGGAGCTTTCAGGGAGCTGACAGCCCAGTTACTGCTCTACTGCTTTGAGCCACAGCACCACTCTGGGGGTTCTGGTAGTTAAGTGGAGATAAGAATCTCACAGACTTTCCTATTTGGGCTGTCTCTGAACTGCGATCCTCAGATCTCAGTCTCCTAGGTATTTAAGATTATAGGCATGAGCCACCAGCGGCCAGCACTCTATAACTTTTCATTTCCCTCCTGTCTCTTAATCTTCCTGTTTTTAGTGTTTGGGTTGTTAGGTTTAAACTTCCTGGAAAATAGTCTTGCTAAGCCTGTGTGGTAGCTCAAGCCTAAAATCCTACCTACTTGGGAAGTGAGATCCAGGGACCACAGTTTTAGGCCAGTTCAGGCAAAAAAACTTTTTGATCTCAACCATCTCAACTAATGGTTGTATGCAGTAGTACAAATCTGTTGTCCCAGCTTTGGGCAAAGCACAATGGCTGGGAACAGTAGCATGCATCTGTCATCCCCAGAGATGCAGGGAAATGCAAGTAGAAGCATGATAGCCCAGGAAGTCTGAATATAAAATGAGATCCTCCTTTAAAAATAGGTGATGGATAAGAGCTAGAAGTATGGCTTGTGGGTGAGCATGCACCCCCCCCCCCCCCCCGGCCACTTTCTTCTTTTGTCTTTTTTCTTTATTTGGTGGTACTGAGGATTGAACTCATGACCTAGCCCTTGCTAGCCAGGCTAAACCACACTACCTAAACCACACTCCCCTCTCTCTTTTGCTTTAATTATTTTTTTTTAGATAGGGTCTTATATTTTTGCCCATGGTGGTCTGGACTGTGTTCTTACTACCTATGCCTCCCTTGTAGCTGAGATTATAAGCATTCATCACCACGCTTGATGCATTACTTTCTTTAAAATGTACATGCAACAAAACTGTGTATATTCTTAATATTTGGATGAATATCTCCAAAACAAATACTAAGAGTTCAAGGAAATAAATTCAAGGTCAAGGTATTTTTTAAAATTTTGTCATACCATTGGGTGAAGCTATTTAAAGTCAACTAATCACTATGTTGTTGCCCATGAAATGAAGAATTCAAGTTTTGAGGTAAAGCTTGGCTACCATCTGGTGGTCTTATACTAAATAAGAATAACCCGTGATTATTTATATTTATTATTATTATTTATAACAAGTTTTAGAGCCATAATATTAAGAGATTAAAAAAGGTGAGACCCCCCATCATACCTATTTTACAAATGAGAAAATAGAAAAACAAAATAGTAAACAGCTTTTTCTCAAGACACTTGATCATTACAAAACTGTCTTAAGAATGGTTATCTTATAGACACTTTATGCCCTAGATTTCTACAAAAGGGGGTGACCCATATGATTACTCAAGATAAAGAGGGGATAGGAAAGAGGAAAAACTCATAGATGCAGGTGCCTGTACTGGGGCTTGAACTCAGGGCCTCAGTGAGTTCTATCCCTTAGCTTTTCTACTCAAGATTCACACTCTACCACTTAAGTTACAGCTCCACCTCTGGCTTTTTGGTGGTTAATTGGAGATTAAGAGTCTCATGAACTTTCCCCCTGAGCTGCCTTTGAATCTTGACCCTCAGATCTCAACCTCCTTAATCCGTGGGGGTTACAGGCAGGAGTCACTGGTTCCTAGCTTACATGCTTTTGTCAAGTTGGAAAGTGCAGTGCTAGAGATGGAGACTTTGAGGATGTATCCAGGCTTGGTGGAGAAAATGAAAGAGGACTGAGAGTTCACGTGTAGGTTGGGAAGGCAAGGCTTTCCCTGCGTAGGGGCTGCATTAAAAAACAGAAAAGGCTGTGGGTGTATGGAACAAAAGAAGCTTTCAGAGAGAATCTGAAAGCAAATGCTTCTTAGTGAGATGAGGGAGAGGAGATTTTACTTTCATTTTTTTTAGCTTTTTGAAACTTTTAGCCAATCTCAGTAATAGTGAATTTTGGTCAAGAGAATATTTGCATAATTCTAAAGCTTTTCAGTTAATTTAAGGCCACTAACTGTCACTAGGTTTTGTTTTCAATATACTAGACTTTTTAAAAAATGTACTTTTTAAGTAATTGGAAGAGTTGCCAGACATGTTTAAAGTAGTATGATACAGCTTTCAAATGTTAAAATTTCAATATACATGCTCTTTTTCTATCTAGCCAATTATCTATAATTTCTAACCATGTGTTAAATTTTTAGTTATTATAGAAATGGCATCTACATTTTCTATCTTTAGCCTCCAGGTTGAGGTTGGCAGATCTTAAATAAAACTTAATCATTTAACATCTCACATCTGAAAATTCCCACAGTGCCTCAGTATTTACACTACAGTAGAAATCCAATTTCTTGGTGTGATATGGAAAATTTTCCGTGATCTAGCTCCAGTCCAACACTCTAGTCCCTCCACAATATATGCTCTTCACCATATCTTGTATCAGGAAGCCACCATCCTCTATGGATTATGGAGGCTTATGTGTCTTGGGTCACTCAATGATTCCAACTTCTTGTTTATTTAAAGAAAACCTATCCATCTCTATGCACTCATATACATACACACACACACACACACACACACACACACACACACACACACACACACACACACACACACATATATTCTGAAGCTTTTCTTGACATTCCTCCTTCTCCACCACTAATTAATTTCCTTCTACAAACACCCAGACAGGACCTGCTTATACTATTAACTTCTCTTTACAAAACTTAAAGCTGTTGAGGCCATGAGCCGTCTGTTATTGCTATGAATCCCAAGGGCTTCACTCTGGGCTTCACAGACAACTAAGGTGATAATGTGACTTGGTTTGTGCCTGTTGACCAGTTTAATTATTAATTACAATCTCTGAGAATTGCTTGATTTGGGGTAAATTACGATCATCCCCTACACAGCACACATTTGGCAAATGCTTGAAAGTATTAACAGTTTTCCTTAATTAGTTCAGTGTTGAGCACTTAGTACTACACTATATATAATACATGATATACATACATATACATATATGTACATAATTTCACTGTGCACACAGTTTCTCTTTTCTTTTGGCTGTATAGGGGTTTGAACTTGAGCCTCCCTCGAGGGATCTACCATTTGAATCATGCTCTTAGACTTTTTGTTTTAGTTTGTAGATGAGGCCACAGACAACAATCCTCTTTACCTACTCTCCCAAGCAGCTGGTATTACCACCATGTTCAGCTTGTTGTTTGGAATGAGGGTCGGTTAACATTTTGTCTTGACTATACTCAAACATACATCACCTTCTAAGTTGCTGAGATTACAAGAGGTGGTCCACAGAACTCCGTCATAGGGGGGGGTTTAAATAAAAAATATTTTTTATGATAATCTTTCCCTCTTAGCTTCAATGCTGCCTGACACCTGCTCCTGTTACCCTGGCTAAATGACCACTCATTCACTGTCTTTTGCACTAGCTGCATGGTTTCAGAGTTGGCTGGAGCTGCTCATCTTTCATAACCACCAAGAAATGCCAGTCTTTCAAACGTCCAAATTAGCTTAAAAAATATCCCACAGTAGAACCTGAGATGTAACAACGAAAACGGTCAGAATCTCCAGAAACTCAAACTCCCCACCCAGTTGGAGCTTGGGGGCAGGTGCAAAAGAGTTTTGCTTTGCCCAAAACAAAAATGGTCTCCTTCGGGCTCCACGCCCTCTCCCTGGCGGACCAATCAAAATGCAGGCTTCCAAGACCATCGTTCTCACTTCCGCTTGGTTTTGCCGGACCACAAACTTCAACCAGCGAGTTGCCACCGTGCGCCTCGGACTCGGGACGGCTTCCGCAGCCGGGACGGCGAGGCCGAGGGGCGGCGGCGGGAGGGCGGGCGGGCGCCATGAACGCCGCGCGGACGCTGAGGGTGCCGGGCCGCCACGGCTACGCCGCGGAGTTCTCTCCGTATCTGCCGGGGCGCTTGGCCTGCGCAGCGGCGCAGAACTACGGCATCGCGGGTGAGCGCGCGCCGGGGCGGGGCACGGGGGAAGCGCTTCCGCGGGCGCGCGGTGCCGCCAGCCGCCGCCAGGTGGCAGCAGAGGAGCGGGCCGCGCCGAGCTTTCTCACCAGCCAGCAAAGCCCGTCGTCCGGCCCCTTTTGCTGTGGTTACCAGCGCCCTCGCCCCCGGACGTTCCTGCTCAGTGCACGGCCCCCTGTCCCTCCTGGCCCACGTGGTTGGTGGCCTGGATCTGTGCGGGGGGCGCGGTGCCTTACTCCAAGGCACCAGACCGATTGGAGGGTGTCTGTGGGATCACCCCGGTGCCTGCCTTCTGCTTCTCATTTGTAGTCCCAGCTGCCCAGCAGGCTGAGATCCGGAAGATCAGGGTTTGAGGCTAGCCTGGGCTGAAAAGGCCGTGCAGTCTCCAGATAATCAGCCAAAAAGTCCGGCTGGAGGAGGAGCTCAAGGGGTAGAGGCTAGCAGTCTGGATTCCCTGAGTTCAGACTCCAGTACTAACATGAAGAAAAAGAAAGAGAACATTTTTCTTTTGTGCCTCATGTATATAACTGCAAGTGGCTGTCAGGAGACTCAAGCTGCGAGTGACCCGTGAATTGGATGGAATGGCAAAGGCCTGGGCCCATGATCACTTTTGCTTAACTTACTGTTATTATTTCTCATTAATGATTGCAATATTGGGAATTGAACCCACAGCTTCATGCATGCTAATGCAAGCACTCTACTACTTGAGACAGGCCTCCCAGCCCTTTTATTTGTATTTATTTTTATTGCTTTTATTTATTTATTTTTTGAAATAGGGCCTCACTCACTTTGCTTGGACTGACCCTGAAGTCTCTATCCTCCTGCCTCTGCAGTCCAAATGACTGGGATTACAAGTGTACACTACCATACCTGGCTAAATATTTAGTATTTGTAAACTTTTATCTAGGGAGTGATTATCTGGTTTTTTTTAAGCTTTCCATCTGGCTTTACTTTTACTTTTTTTAAGTTTATGTTCTGGCTTTTGTTATACTCTGAAGCAAGATGGATGCTGTCAGTAATCCATAGTGTTTTTATTTAGTCCTACAGTAGGAAAAAAATATGCTGTGTAAAACTTGGAGGCAAACATTTCCTTTTATTTTTTAATCTGTCATGGGGCTTGAACTCTGGGCCTGAATGCTGTCCCTCAGCTCTTCAGCTTAAGGCAAGAACTCTACCACTTGAGCTACAGCACCACTTCTGGTTTTCTGGTGGTTTATTAGAGATAAGAGTTTCACGGACTTTCCTGCCCAGGCTGGCTTGGAACTGTGATCCTCAGACCTCAGCCTCCTGAGTAGCTAGGATTACTGGCATGAGCCACTGATGGTTGGCTTTCCTTATATTTTCATCAGTGGCTCTTAGTGCTTAATCACAGTTAAGCCTGAAGTATTACTTTAAATCATTTGCAAAATCTCTTGAGTGGAATTGGTGGGTTTTTTTTTTAAGTCAGTCATGTTTAAACAGGAGAGTACCCCATCCCCCCTTTTAAAGATAAATGTAAACTTTCAAATACATTAATCTTTCAACAAAATAATGCATTGCTGGTAGGTAACTGATATAATATTTTTTCCTACCAAGTGCGTGGTATTTCCGCACTCATATTTTAAGTCCATTGTTAAATCTTTTTCATCTTTGGCAAGGCAGCATGATTTAGTAGAAGAATCACGATTGGAGGGGACTCCTGAGTCTGAGGATTCTCATTGTCAGAAGGAAAGGTAACAGGAAAGTTTGTGTGCCTGCCACCTTGCCTGGTACCTTGAGTGAGTACTCAACGTGTCTTTTCCCATCAGCAGTTCAGTGTCTGGATTCCATTTAGGTAAAATGGTTAAGTTGAATATGAAATGACTGAAGCATAGTATGAAAAATTTAAAGCTTATGCCTATTATTCTAACTATACAGGAAGGTAGGATCTGAAGTTTGTGTTGTAAAGTTAGTCTGGTCACCAAAAAGTCCTTGAAACTCTTATCTCCAACTAACCAGCAAAAAACTGGAAGTGGAGGTGTGTTTCAAGTGGTAGGGCACCAGCCTTAAATGGGCAAAAAAAGAAACAAGAGGCCTGGAGTTGAACCCCCAGTAGGGTAAAACAAATATGAAAATTTTAATCCTTTTGTATACATAGTCCCAATACTTGAGAGGAATTCTGTAGTAGTAAAAAATCAGGCACTCACTTAAGATGACTTAAATGTTTCCCCTGACAACTTCAACAGCATGACTTTGAGTTTGCTTTTTTTCTCATCAGGTTGTGGAACACTACTAATACTTGATCAAAATGAATCTGGGCTTTGTATTTTTAGAAGGTAAGGTGGTTCTAATTATTAAACTTATATTCTCTTGCTAGTAACATCTTTGTAGAATTAGGTTTTGGACCTTTCGCATAAGTAGGTCTTAGAATTTGCATTACAAAAGAAACTTTAGCATTTGAATAGAATAGAAATAATTTTTGCCATTAGGTTAGGAATATGCCATGTTCTCACTTTTTTTTTTGCAAACTGAATCACGTTTACTTTTTGAGTGTCCATTTATAATTCATCAAGTTTAAACAGAGTAAACTAATTAGTGTAGAATAGAACATTGCCTGTCTTTGCTGTCTTAATGTAATTGGACAAGACCTAATTATTCATATTGTATAACAGTGGGACCTCCCTTTCTTTCATGCCTTTTTCTCTGTGGGACTGCTAGAAGCATTAATACTTCCCTCAACATTGGACAGAAGTAGAGAAAAGAAACCAGGTTCTGTCAGAAGCTAACTTCATTCCTAACTCAGGAGAAAAATTGACGGGAAAGTTTAAAATTATTGGTCTAAATTTGTATGGCAACAGGACTTCATACAAATTGTTTCGTATTAGTAATTTGTGTGTGTGTGTGTGTGTTTCTGTGTTATTGTTGTTGGAGTTTGAATTCTGGGCCTCTCTTGCTGGACCTTTTTGCTTTAGTTTAGGTAGGGTCTTGCACAACTTTGCTGAGTGGGCCACTGACTAAAATCTTCCTATCTCTGCTTCCAAAGTAGCTGAGGTTTTCAGTATGACCCACCACACTGGCCTGAAATCTGGTCTGTTCTTTTAGCCTATCTGAACTTGTTTTGTTTTTTGTCAAGTACCTGTTTTACTTCTCTCCCATCGTTGTGAAGATAATATGAGATCATGTGTGTCAAAATACATGAAAAATTGTGCCCATGATAGTGTGGCTCTTGTTCATTCATCCAGTGGTCTGTGTAATTTCTACTTAGGTTTTTTCGCTTGTTCTGTTGTAGCTTCGACTGGAATGATGGTTTGTTTGACGTGACGTGGAGTGAGAACAATGAGCACGTCCTCGTCACCTGTAGTGGCGACGGCTCACTGCAGCTGTGGGACACTGTCAACACTGCGGGGCCACTGCAGGTGTATAAGGAACACACCCAGGAGGTAGGAAGGGAATCTGGGTGTCTCTCTGGGCTGATGGTTCTTCCTTCTTAGACTCTGACTGAAATCTCTTTGGGGCTGTCCATAAGAAGTGTTTTCAGGGGACTGGTTTAAACTTTAATATTTCTTGTACATAGTAGATGTCATTTATTACTTAAGTATTCAAGCAGAAAGTACATCTTGGCCTAAGGATGTGGAATGAAACGAAAGGTCAGGCTTCTCATTAGGCAATCAGAATGCCCCTGGTAGCATCCTGTGGCATCACCCACTCCACCAAGGCCTGTGGCTTTCCTTATGCCAAAAGAACTTGCCTGCCCTGCGGTGCTTATAGGGGTAGGCAGACCTTTCCCCAAGGTACCATGAGATTGTCCTTAGGCTTTAGGACGATACGTGAGGGTTTCTGAAATATATTTCAACAGTAGCAGCATTAAATACTGAATATGAGGCAAATCAGCTAAAGAAAATTTATATCTAGATCTGGCTTGTGTGGCGTGTGTGTGTGTGTGTGTGTGTGTGTGTGTGTGTGGCCTAGGGAATAGTTTGGATTGCAGTCATACCCAAATATGCATGTATTATTAAGGAACATTTACTCGTTTTGTTCACCTGTCTCTCTCCTGCTAATGCCACTTCTCCCCCACACAGCCTGTTTTACGTTCCTGTTGTCAATTTTTTAGTGTATATTAATTGCATCTAGGAGTTTTACTGTGGTCTTTCAGATATACATATACTACATTTTAATCAGAAAACCCTCTCTATTGCTTTCTCTTTGTCAGATCCCCTAGTGCCCTTTTGCTCATCAGATTTCATTAAGATAACTTGTGCCTTTTTTCATACATAGTTGCAATGTATTGAAATTATTCACCCACCATCATTTTCCCCTCATTTGAATCCTCCAATTGTGTTCTATGGGTATATATGAAAATATACTTATGTATCTATGTATGTTTACATATACACGTACTGTTCATGAATATATATGTCCTTCCATAAATAAGCAAAAACATGCAGTATTTGGCTTTTTGAGGTTGGCTTATCTCACACAAGATGATGGTCTCCAGTTCCATCAATGTTTTCTTTATAATTGCATAGTATCCCATAGTATACGTGTTGAGATCTTCAGCTGACTGGACGACTGGGTTCTTGGAAATAGAGATGAAATAGACATGGGTATATTGGCATATTGCTTGTATATTGCTTCACTCTCCTTAACATATATGCCCACTAATGGTACAGTGGGGTCATAAGGAAAGTCTCCTTTTAGTTTTTTGTGTAACCTCCATACTGATTTCCACAGTGGTTGCACTGGTTTCATTCCTACCAATAATGTAGCGAGTTCCTTTTCTCTGCATCCTGGCCAGCATTTGTTTTTTGTTTTCTTGAAGATTGCCATTCTGATTAGAGTGAGATGAAATCTTAGTGTAGTTTTTTTTTTTTTTTTTTTTTTTTGTCGGTTGTGGGGCTTGAACTCTGGGCCTGGGTGCTGTCCCTCAGCTCTTCGGCTAAGGCTAGCGCTCTACCACTTGAGCCACAGCACCATTCTGGTTTTCTAGTAGTTAACTGGAGATAAGAGTCTCAGGGACTTTCCTGCCTGGGCTGGCTTTGAACTGCCACCCTCAGCTCTCAGCCTCCTGAAAAGCTAGGATTACAGACGTGAGCCACTGGTCCTCAGCCTCCCAGCCTTAGTGTAGTTTTGATTTGCATTTCCTTATGGCTCACAATGTTGAACATTCCTTCATGAGTCTATTACCTATTTCTATTTCATCTGAGAACTGCTTTGTCAGTCTGCTTGGCCATATATTAATTAGATTATTTGTTCTTTTGCTGTTCAACTTTTTGAGCTCTTTGTATAATCTGAATATAAGTCCTTTATGTGTTGAATAACTGACAAGAATTTCATTTTGTGGTTTGTATCTTGGTTCCAGTATTTGTTTCTTTTGCTGTGCAGAAATTTTTAATTTGATGTAGTTTCATTTGTCAATTTTTATTTTTGTTTTCTGGGCAATCAGGGTAACTTCCTGTGCCTGTAACTTTGCCACTTTTCCCTGTGTTTTCTGGTAGTAGATTTAAAGTTTCAAGTGTTACTTTGAGATCTTCAATCCATTGGGAGTTGATTTTGAGATTTAGGTCTAGTTTCAGTCTCATGGAAGTCGATAACCAGCTTTGCCAGCACCATTTATTGATGAAGCCGTTTCTTCTCCAGTGAGTGCTACTGGCTATCTTGTTGAAAAGGTCAGTTTGAGATAACCATCTTTCAGATATGGCTGACCAGGCTAGCTCTGAACTGCAGTTCTTAGATGTCAGCCTCCTAAATAGCTAGGATTATAGGTGTAAGCCACTGGCACTTGGTTGGCTTGATTTTTCTGTTTCTGTGAAGAATGACCTTTAGAAATGTGATGGATAGTTCATTGATTGCTTTTTGGCCATTTTAAGGATATTAATTCTGCTAGTCCATGACTGTGAGAAGTCTTTCCATCTTCTGGGGTCTTTGATTTCTGTCTAAAAGGTTTTATAGAGAGCTCTTTGACTTCCTTAGCTAACCTTGGTGTTTTATTGTTTTGTGACTAAAATTGTTTTTCTGACTTCTTTCAAAGAATATTCATTTATTCTGTAGAGATAGCTACTAACGTTTTTAGTGTTGAGTTTATATCCTGTTAGGTTTCTGAAGGTGTTTCCCAGATATAGAAGTTTTTATCTACAAATAGTGATGATTTGAATCTTTTTAATTTCTTTCTCTCATCCTGTTGCTCTGGCTAGGAATTCTAGTGCTGCGTTGAGCAAAAGTGGTGGGAGTAGACACCTTTGTCTTGTTTCTGACTTTAGTGGAAATGATTTCAATTCCCACTCATTTAATATGATATTAGCTATAGGTTTTCATCTGTATCCTTTAGAATGTTGAGGTAGGTTCCTTTTATTTCTTGTTTCTTTAGACTGTTTATCACAAAGGATGTTGTATTTTGTCAAAGGCTTTTTCTGTGTCATTGAGATGATCATGTGATTTATGTTCTTGATTCTGTTCCTGCTATGTATTATTACATTTATTGATTTGTATATGTTGGACTATCCTTGCATCCTTGGGATGAAAAAAATTGATAATTGGGGGCTGGGAAGGTGGCTCAGTGGTAGAGTGCTTGCCTTGCATGCCTGAGGCCCTGGGTTCGATTCCTCAGCACCACATAAGCAAAAAGAAAAAAGCCGGAAGTGGTGCTGTGGCTCAAGTGGTAGAGCGCTAGCCTTAAGCTGAAGAGCTGAGGGACAGCGCCCAGGCCCAGAGTTCAGGCCTCACGACCGGACCCAAAAAAAAAAAAAAAAAATTGATAATTGGGTTTGATCTTTCTAATGTGTTGAGTTTGGGCTGCTAGAGTTTTGTTGAGAATTTTAGCATCAGTGTTCATCAAAGAGATTGGTCTTTAATTTTCCTTTTTTGTTATGCTTTTGTCCAGTTTTAGAATGAGTATAATACTGGCTTTGTAGAATGAATCCTTTTATTTTTCTATTTTATGAAAGAATTTAACAAGCGTTGTTGTTAGTTCTTCTTTTAAGGTCTGATAGAACTCATCAGTGAATCCATCCAGTTCCGGGGTTTTTCTTTGTTGGGAAACTGATTTCTTGTCCTTTGCCTGAAGAACTAACACACACATTTTTAGGTCTTTTACTATGGAGACAAAAGTTACTCAGTAGCAGTGAATATTCTTTGTCTAGATTTTGGCTTCTAAATACTAATTTTTTTCAAAAACGATCAGTGTTCTTTGAAAAATCATTTATTCAGGTCAGGGCAAATACTATACAAGATGAATCAAAGCTATCTTCTTGTGTTAGAAAACAAGAAAAGTTGGATGCCAGTGACAAATACCTGTCATCCCAGCAATAGAGGAGACTGAGATTGAACAAGTAAGTCTCTGTTACATTCAAGAGGGTAAAGAAGTTTGAGAAAGTCTGCTCAGTGGAAAGAAACTGGGCATGGTGAGACATGTCTGTCAGCTGAGGTACTATGGGAAGGCTAAAATAGGAGGATCTTGGTCCGAGTTAGACAAAACTTGAGATCCTATCTCAAAGTAGCCAATACCAAAAAGGCTAGATAGAGGGGTTGGTACAGTGATGGAGTATCTGCTTAGGAGGTACAAAGTACAGAGTTGAAAATCTATCTCCAAGAAAGAGAGAGAAAGGGAAAGAGAAGGAGAAAAAGGAAGGAAGGAGGAAGGAAGGAAGGAAGAGAGGAAAGAAGAGAGGAAGGAAGCGAGGAAGGCAGGCAGACTATAAGAGGCCATTGTAGGCATGTCCAAAATATAGAAGAGACAACTTGAACACACTTTCATTGTCCAAAGATGGGACAATACAAACATCATAAAGAATGACAATAATGAATTGCAGCATCACACATGTACAGACCACATACATACATTATATATATTTCTACTACTTACATGGGATTGTAATTACTAGAAAAAACCTTACCAACATTAAAGATTACTAGGGCAATTGACTCATTTTTCTGAAAATTAATAAATAAAGGTAAGGAAATGAAGCCTTTTCCATTTGAAATTTTGTTGTGAGTAAGCAAAAAGCTGATTTAAAATTGTTTGTAACAGAATCCCACGTAATGTATACAGAAGGAATAACAGAAAGTCACCATTCAGTAGCCCTAATGAAATAATGACTCTGGATGAGGGACATGGTCGGATGCTAAAACTATTAATAGAAGATTGAAGCTTTCTCTGAACAGTCTAGGATCACTAAAAGTGGATCAATCAGAAATTATAAGCCTCCTAATATAATAGGAAGCTAAAAACCTGATTAAGCCATCAGATCTAACTTAAATTTAAAGGAAATAGGAAGTCTAGAGGAAGAAGTTAAACACCACCATGAGGAAACAATTAGCCAAATTCAGAATAGAGGGCATTGGGCAGGATGAATAACTGTGTTTCTTCAACAAATAAATGGCCTAGAAAGGAGAACAGAAAAAGCAAAACCTTAGGTAAAGGACTTAAGAAACATAAAACTAAATGTAAAAGATAAATCTTGTTTGGATATTGATTTTTAGAAAGCAACTATAAAAAGTCATTCTTTTAATAATCGGTACAAACATGAAGATACTAAGTATCAGGTGATATTAGAGGGCTATAGTTAGTCTTGGCAGGGGTGAAAACGACCTTGTGCTGATGTAGAAGAATACCTGCTAAAGTACTTACAGGTAAAGTGGTGGGTGTTAAGATACTCTAGCAGTGATTCAGTCAGCCAGCAATGGGTTAGATGAAACAGATGAGCAAAGTAGATCATTATGGAAAGTGTGGCTGGGCACTGGTGGCTCATGCCTGTAAATCCTAGCTACTTAGGAGGCTGAGATCTCAGGATTGTGGTTCAAAGCCAGCCTGGACAGGAAAGTCATTGAGATTCTTATCTCTGGTTAACCACCAGAAAATCAGAAGTGATGTTGTAGCTGAAAGTGGTAGAATGCTAGCCTTGAGTGAAAAAGCTCATGGACAGTGCCCAGGCCCTGAGTTCAAGCCCCCTGACTGACAACAACAATAAAAAGTGTATAATAGGAGGTTATACTATTCTCTATAATTTTATACATGATTTTAAATCCTTAATGAAAAAAATATTAAGCTTTGTATTGACATTGAAAACCTTTCTGATCTCTTAATAATTAAAAGTCACTGTCTTTTTCTTTTACATTCATACAGATAAGTACGAAAATTTGGGGCGTAATTTTTATTTGACATTTTTTAAATAGAGCAACTTGGAAAGGGAGCAGTTCTGTAAAAAAAAATAGATTAAAAAAGTTCTTTGGGGATGATTTCACTAGTAAAATATGTGCTCTCAAAATGGTTTTGATGAAATTCAGATTTCATAAAGTAGCACAAAATACTATTCAGTAGTCTCCACCCCCATCTTTTCCATTGTCCCAATTAATTTTCTTCACCACTGCTGAGAGAAACTTCATAAAATAGACTTTTAGAAAAACTCTGCTTTTAAAGATTAAGATCAGATTTTGTGGATCTCTCTCTATTTAATTTGACCATACACTTTGTCTACTCTTTGAGTGGGAGTGGTAAGGGAAGTTAAGAATAGGAAAGAGATGGAAGAATACACTAAGAGGAGATAGGGTTTCCACTCAGACTTTTTTCTCTGTGCATTCATTCATTGCAAAAAAGTTTGACTCTACAAGTTTCCTCACTTGGTACAGATGGGAAGATGATCTCTTTGAAATAGAGAGACTGAGGCTGTGTTCATCTCATGTTTAGTGCTTATCGTGGGCTGAGGGGCTACAGTGTTGGGAAGGCAAGGAATGTATCCTTGAGTCTGAGGGAAAAGTAGGAATGAGTTATTCAGGTGGTGAGGCCAGAGGAGTAGTATGGGAAGCCAAGCAAAGAGTGCCCTGGAAGAGGAAGGCACTGAAAACTCTGGGCATAGTTTTTATTGGACAATTTTTAATTAAATATACTATAAAATAGATTAAAAATAAGCTCCTTGGGAATTGGTTTCAGTGATATTATATAGCCTTTCAGAATGGTTTTGATAAGGTTCAGATTTTATAAAGTACATGTAGCCTGTGGGCTGGAACTCAGGGCGTGAGAATGGGCAGCACCAGAGCTAGGACCAGGGTCTGACATGGGAGGTGCTTACTTGGCTAGTTTAATTTAATTTGGTCATTAAGATCATCTGATAGTGTAATGTTTTAGAACATAAAATGAATGCAAATTCTTTAATGTACAAGACAGAAAATTTTCATCTCTATTTTCTAGAACCTTAATAGTTTTATTGAAATTTTTTCCTAGCGTTTTTGTTGGTTGCTGTTGTTTTTATGTAGTCTAGGGTAGTCTTGAACTTATAGTTCTCCTGACTCAGCTTTCTGAGTGGTGCCTTCACACCTGGCTACATATTCCAGCTTTATTGAAATATCATTGACAAATAAAAATTGTATATATTTAAGATGTTTTGATGTAGGTATATCTTATTTCCAGTCAAACTAATTAACTTATTGATCTCCTGATATTAGTGTGTGTGTGTGTATCTATAGATCTACTGTCTCAGCATATTTCAAGTATACATGCATTATTACTAACTATATGTACAATCGAAGACATTGGATATTTAGATTTCCCTTAAATTTTATACCTTTGACCAACATCTCCTCATTGCTCATGATCCATTTTTTTCTGTCCCTCTCACAGGTCCTGGCAACCACCATCTATGCTTCTCTAAGTTGGACTTTTTGGGGTTAAGACATCAAAATTTTATTTATTTATTTATTTGTCGGTTGTGCGACGCTGTCCCTCAGTTCTTCAGCTCAAGGCTAACGCTCTACCACTTGAGCCACAGTGCCACTTCCAGGTTTTTCTGCTTATGTGGTGCTGAGGAATCGAACCCAGGGCCTCATGCATGCAAGGCAAGCACTCTACCACTGAGCCACCTTCCCAGCTTCAAAACATCAAAATTTTAAATAAGGACAAGATCAGTACTATTGATTCTGCCCTCCCCCGCCCTCAGGCTCTCACATGTCTGAGCATAGCATTGGGTAATAGAGCATTGGGTAATAACCTACTTAAGCCACAAAAAGCCTACACAGGCATACACCTACATATATGTGGGCAGTTTAAGACTGAAAATAACCCTCTGGCTGATCCTATTTAATGGTATGTACTTAGATCTGTGTCATTACTACTTTAGTAAATTTGCAGTATTTTGTTAAATTTACTTACAGTAGTGATCTGTGTATCATTTGTTGTGTAAGCAACAGAATGAACAAAAGCATATCCATACATTTTTAGACATGTCACCTAAAATGGTTCACTGAGAGCAGGGAAGCTGAAGTTAAGAGTGGCAGTACTGGGCTGGGAAGGTGGCTCAGTGGCTCAGTGATATAGTGCTTGCCTTGCGTGTATGAGGCTCTGAGTTCGATTTCTCAGCACCACATAAAGCAGAAAAGGCCAGAAGTGGCACTGTGGCTCAAGTGGTAGAGTGCTAGCCTTGAGCTGAAGAGCTGAGGGGCAGTGTCCAGGACCAGAGTTCAGGCCCCACAACCAACCAAAAAACAAACAACAAAACAAAAGATTATCAGTACCAGGTCACTAAAGCTGTTTGCCAAGAGATATAGAAGGACCACTTGGTCCCTAGAAGCTTTTTCTAAGAAAGGCCCAATAGGGATATTAATTGAATTTTAATGCTTTCTGATAAACACTGACTGCACAAGGCCTTTTTAGATGAATACTTTCTAATCTGCTCTGACCTTTCCTTGAGGAGTTACAACAGTGATTTGTTGGTAGGTTCAACAGTACATATAGCTTATTTTGGTGAGGAAGGTTTGGAATGAGTCCATAGAGTGTAATAAGGCAGAATGTGTCCTGCTTATGCATGAATGGGCAAGGTGATTTTTCCATTTCTTTTTTTTTAATTGTGAAAATACTGTACAGAGGGGTTACAATTACATGAGCAAGCATTGTTGCCTCCTCCCCTTACCATCTCTTCCCATCCTCCCCCCCCACTTCCATTTCTCAGACACCATGTTGAATAAGACTTTAGTTGATGTTTATTTGTTTTTGCCAGTACTAGGGCTTGAACTCAGGGCCTGGGTTATATCCCTGAGTTTTTACTCAAGGCTAGCATTCTACCACAAGAGCCACAGCTCCAATTTTGACTTTCTGGTGGTTAATTGGATGTAAGAGTATCAACAGACTTTCCTACCCAGGCTGGCTTTGAACCGAGGTCCTCAGATCTCAGCCTTCTGAGTATAGGATTACAGGCATGAACCACTGATACCCAGCTAGTTGATGTTTTGATGAGGTAAATCAGTTGTTGTAGCTAGCTACTACTGTTATAAAGAGATACAATGCAACATTAAACTTGATGCTATTTTGCTTTCTAAACACTTTAAAATGTTTTTAGGTGTATAGTGTTGATTGGAGCCAAACCAGAGGTGAGCAGCTCGTGGTGTCTGGCTCATGGGACCAAACTGTCAAAGTGGTATGTGAAAGTCTGTATGTAGAAACAAAGTCCTTTTGTCCAGTGCTTCCACTTAGTTGTCTTTTTTTTTTTTTTCCAAAATATCCTTCTGTAGCTTTACTATTATTCAATATTTTTTCAAAAATATGTTAAAACACTAGAACTTAAAATTTTCTACTCTTTTAGCTATGAACTAATAATTATCTTATCATTGATTATGTTGGCCTCTGAAAGACTGTTTTAGTTTATATAAAGTAGATGATAAAAATTCTTGAGGTAGTATGTATATGTAAACATAGTATATTGTACATACTGTAGACATAAGAGCATATGTCTTTCTATTAAATAATCTATTCATTTATTTGTAGTGGGATCCAACTGTTGGAAAGTGTCTGTGCACCTTTCGAGGCCATGAAAGTGTCATTTATAGCACAATCTGGTCTCCTCACATCCCTGGTTGTTTTGCTTCAGCCTCAGGTAAATACTTGTGAATTTACCAAAAATTGGAGTAGCCTAATTTTCCCCGCTAGATGGCACTGTGTGCCCTCGATTCAAAGAAAAGTATATTCCTATTCTTTTAAGTTCTTGGGATCTATCCTTCTTTACCAACTTATTGGCAAGCAGCAGCTGTGGCCCAGAGTACCTTTAAAGGAATCTAACCTTTAAAGACTGGAAAAATTTGAAGATGATAATGTCATAGCTAAGACATACATTTAAAAGAGAAAATCCTTTTCTTTTAGAACAATATTGAGCTTTTGAAACACACAAAGTTTGTCACTGAACAGGTCAGGTTTGAAACTGAAGATCCTAATGCACAGACCTTGTGCTTTACAATTGTGTCCTTAACTAAAAGCCAAAGCCTTAGAATCGAATATACTAGGCAAATTACTATCTTCAGATCATAATGACTTGTTCGTAGCTTTTGTAAATAAAGTTTAATTGGAACATGGTCATATCTGTTTATTTGCATATTGCTTATGGCTGCTCTCACATTAGTGTCAAAGTTGTTAGAGGATTAATAGTGCTCAAATCCAAAAATATTTACCACCTGGTCCTTTATGGAAAATGTATTCTGATACCTCATATAGAACTTAGAAAGGAGCTAAAGCACTAGAAGCTCTTTTGTATAGTTAATTGCTTACGGGAGGAGAAAAGGTGATAGTGGAGAAGGTAGTGTGCTTCTAGTAGCTTTCACTCATCTGAAGTCTAAAGGTAGGCCTTTCTTCAAGTTCACTTTCTTGTAATTCTAAAATTTATTCAAATTTCTGTGAATTCTACAAGTATTAGATTGAAGACACTCAAATGGCAACTTTCAAGTAAATTGTATACATATATATCATTTAGATTATGCAATATTTTGAGATCCTAATAGTAAATAATGGTAATATTTATGTATACAAGCATAGCTAAGAAACATATTTTTCTTGGATTAAAAATTAATTGCATTATTTTTTAAAATAAAGAACTGTATACCTTGTAAACATATAAAACTAATACTATTATTTTTTAAAATTCGTATGTTGTTTGGGCCTTGGCTTTCTCATCTATAATCTGAATTACATTTTTTCCATAGTGTCAGATCATTTTAAGGAGAGCAGTAGTAGATTTGTCCTAGTCCCATGGGGCTTGAATTCTGGGCCTAAGTGCTATCTTCAGCTCTTCAGCTCAAGGCTAGTGCTCTACCACTTGAGCTACAGTGTCACTTCCGGTTTTCTGGTGATTTATTGGAGATAAGAGTTCCATGGATTTTCCTGCCCGGGCTGGCTTTGAACCGTGATCCTCAGATCTCATCCTCCTGAGTAGCTAGGATTATAGGCATGAGCCACTGGCGCCTGGCCCTCATCCCATTTTTTATCTGAAGTTGAATTTCCTCTTAGATCTTTTATATTTCTGTGGCACAGCTAGCCATAAAGTTGGGTGTATGTTAAGTAAATGGAAGCACTATTAATACTCAATATGAAATTATCTCTTTGATCTATGTGTATAACTTGCATTGGTCAGATTTTATGCTTTTAATTCCATGCAAAATAGCTTCAAATTTAATGCAAATGAGTTTCATATTTGTAGTGAAGCAGATTCTAAGATAACCACAGTTCACTTTAGTAATCATACTTTTCTATTTTTACCTTTGATGAAAACCCCTAATTCAGAGAGTCTTGGTACAAGTTAAATTAAAATTCTCACAAGCATATATGTTAGGTTGACATTAGTATGTATTTTCATACAAAAGAGAGATGTTCTTTGGTGCTATATCTTATAGTTTCAGAGGGCCCATTTCAAACCCTGAATGGAATTAGCAGTATCCATCATAAAAATGAATGGAACACATTTCCCTTTCAGTGAAGGCATGTCTGCTGGGAGCTCTAACTGGCAACAGGCACTAAATTTTAACATGAGTATAACTGTACTAAGACAGATTATAGATAGTTTGTTTTAAGTTCTGTTACATGTGATTTTCTTTATAATATTATTTAAGGTTCTAAAATTGAATTTATTTAATCCCTTCTTTCTTCCTTCTGTTCCCTCCCTCCTTCCTTCCCTCCCTCTCTTTTTCCTTTTCTTCCTTCCTTTCTTCTTTCCTTTTTGTGTGTGTGAGCTGAATTTGCCACATGCATGCCAAGCACACATTCTATGACTGAGCTACACCCCTAACCCACTTTTGTTATTTTTTTATTCTGGTGACCAAACATAAAATCCAGTGATAAAAATTATGAACTAATAACAGGTACATTTATTTACATATCAGCCAGAATTATGTGTATTAGTCCTTTATTTGGGTTGAGTCACATATAACTCCTTTCACATTGAACTTTATGTAATATTGTATACACATATATATTTGTATATGTAATATTTACCCTGGATAGTGTATATAGAATATTCAGAGACCATCTTTTCGATTATATTACCTTAATGTGTTATATTAGAAATACAAATACTTGGGAGGTGGGTGGGGAAACTGGGGGAATATTTGTGGGATTTTTTTTTACTTCCTCTTGGCCCCCAGCTGTGACAGATTTTGATAAAAGGAGAAATAATAAAAAGATAAACCGTAAAAAAAAAGAAATACAAATACTTGTCATATTAATTGGGAATTCTTTTGTAAAAAGTGCACAAAATTTGGCCATACTGCGTTAAGGAAGAAGGTAGATTTGTTTGCTGACAGAGTTGCCAACTCTTGAACTAGATCTAGCTTTAGAGGCAAAGCTGGATATAGATAGGGCTCTGTCTTTTGTCTTTTGTAAGTTACCAGATGATGGCAGTAGCTCCCACCCTTCCATTCTTATGATTTCTGACTAACAGGAAAAGTGGAAGGTCCTCTCTCAGACATTCAGGAGAATTTTACTTTGTCTCATTGGTTCAGTGTGTCCTTGTGGTTGTTTTATGTTGTTTTAATTGACTTAGATCCAGCTTAGCTCCTGCAGTGGCCGGCAGAAAATGGGAATGATACCCAAACTTCAAGTGCTGAAGATATGAGGAATAAATCTTGATTAAGTAGAAGTAGGTGATTAGATTCCAGGGGGCCAATGTGCATTATAATGGTTGTACATTTTAGGCTTCAAATAAATCACAGGGGATTTGAGGAATCAAACCAAACACTAAACCTACAAGCTATGAAATGTGTTTGTTAAAACAAAGCAAAACAATCAACAAAAATAAACTTTTTAAAACTTGCCCCTTGAATCAGATCCAATAATGCTGTTTAGAAGTTTTTGAAAACTCATTAAAATGTTGATTTATCATGTGTGTCATTTTCCTGAAATATTTCTTCATGATAATTTTCAAATATTAGCTATTTCATTAAGTTTGAAAAAATTGGACATTTCTTCCACTCTGCAAAAATACCAGAAGGAGTTGTGGTATAGTAAAAACTTAAAGCAAGCTCTAAAACACTTAATGTGCCTTGGTCACTTCAAGGGAGGCCCCCCAAAAAAGTTGCCTGCCATGTCATATGCAAGGCATTAATAGGCAGGTGAGCTCCTTGGCAGATTTTCTTTGCACGCCTTGTTTCATGTATTTCCTATAGCATTTCCATATCCTCTTATTCAGTCAAAAGCCTTCCACAGATGAATACTAAAGTGTTTTTTACTGTTATTTCGTATGATCTAGAAGTACCCGCTTATCTGAGTTTCGAAAACACATCCATGGTTCATTTTGATGTTTGAAAAGAACACTCATCTAGCCCATGTATTTATTAAATACATGTCATTTGCTGGGCATTGGAGATTCAATGAGGATGAAAGCAAAGTTCCTGTCCATCAAGAACATATCATCTAGTGAAAAAGGGAGGTACAAACAAGCTAGTGGTGCTGATACACAGTGGTTACCACATGGACTTATGGGCTTCCTAGCACCATGTTCTTGTTTTGCGATGGTGTGACATTGGTCATGCTACTTAGCCTTTCTGTTATTTCTACAAGAAGGGCAATAATAAGACCTATACTATGCAGTTTTGAGGATGCTTGAGTTCATGTACAGGAAGGACTTCAAATGGCTGCCACACACAGAGAGAATAAGAACCCTAGAACTGTTACCTATTTTTATGATAACATGAATTCTGTGGAAATGTATAAATGAACTTGTCAGGGCTAGTGGTCTTCAGGGATGCTTTCCTCAGGAAAGAATGTCCAAGCTACTGCCTTAGGAAGTTAGGAGATTCTTAGGATGGAGGTAAAGATGTGGGCTGTGCAGAGAACAATATATTTGAGGAGCATCAGAATGGCCTTTGTAGTGCACATGTGCAGCTAGAATGACTATGAGAACAGATGCTTAAAGTAGCTTGCTCTGTACAGGCTCTGTACACAGTGTGTAATAAAAGATAGTGCTCCAGGAATTTTAAAAAGTTACCAATCACTAGATTCATTAGGGAGCCTGGATAACAACTGAATTCTGGGCTTCACCCAAGTTCTGCTGAATCAGAATGCCTTTTGGGAGGTGTATATTTCATCCCAGTTGAATCAAGTGATCAGCTGTATTTGGAAAGCACTGTATTAGTTTCAGCTCTGTCTGATATGTTAAATAAATAGTTTATATCCACTGATGTGGTGGGAGTTGCCATGTTTGTTTTCATAGGAACATAATCATCTAATTTTTGAAAACCCGCAGAGTGGCTTCAGTGCTGAACTCAGAGATAAGGTGGTTTCTTAAGTTTGAGAAGTTTTGGGGTTTTTTTCCCTCCTCAGTTTTGTAATAATCTTCAACATCTTTTTTTTTGCATTTTTTATTGTAAAGGTGATGTGCAGAGGGCTTACAGTTACAGTAAGTAAGGTAATAAGTAAATTTTTTTTTGGGGGGGGTCCGGTTGTGGGGCCTGAACTCTGGGCCTAGGCGCTGTCCCTCAGCTCTTCAATTCAAGGCTAGCGCTCTACCACTTGAGCCACAGCACCACTTCTGGCTTTTTTTCCCCCCTGCTTATGTGGTGCTGAGGAATCGAACCCAGGGCCTCATGCATGCAAGGCAAGCACTCTACCACTGAGCCACCTTCCCAGCCCCATAAGTAAATTTCTTGTCAAACTTGTCACCCCTTCCCTCATTTTTCTCCTAATTTCCCTCCCCCTAACCCACACCCCCAAGTTGTGCAGATCATTTCCAACATATTGTCTTGTGTATATCGCTGTTGCATTGGCTCCCCCCATGTCCTTTGTTTCACCATTGCTTGCTATAAAATACACCATAGTCTTTGCATAAAAACAATCTCAATTGCAAAGCTCATAGTTATGGAACTCAACTTATTTCTAATGATAGGATAAAGCTTATATGATAAGCTTCTATGTGTGGCACACATATTGTTAGCTATTTTATTCAGTCTTACATTTTAAGATAATATATGGAAATAAACCAGTTAGGCTACTCCAAGAGTTTAGTCTCCTTAAAGGTTATGTAGGACTTGAATTAATTATCATTAGTGACGTTAAAACCAAAAAGGAAGAGATAAATCTAGGTATATCTTCATAGCAGAGTTCTCAAAGGGTATTTTGTTTTGTCTAGTTCATGAGACAGAAAGGAAGGATATATGAGCTATTTAAATAAAGGAAATTAATATGAAGTAAACTTTCTTTTGAATCATGAAAACTAAATTACTCCTATTACAGACTGCATAATTGCATAAGTCTTAGCTGTGCCTCAATGTGTGGGGTCTAGTAGTAGTTAAAATAAACCTCATTGTATTGTAAGGAAAAGTCATATTTCATATGAGAGACATCTGGCATTTCAATTAGATTAATTTATTTGGGCCCAAAAGTACTCTGTCAGGACTCTGTTCACTTGACAGTTTTAGACTCTGTGTATACTCATTGTTCTTCCTCTTACTTGCTGCATTTTGAAATTAGGCAGAGTCATAGCCTGTACTCCCTGCCAATTGGTTTTGCTGCCAGTGGCAGGTCTGCAGCTGATAAGAGAAGCTGGTGATTCAGGTAGGACTATGGCATCATCAAGGGCCCTGATGAGAGTCTGGCTGGCAGTGAAAGGCCAGGGCCAGGTGTCTGGAGATGGGATTAATATAAATGCAGACGCCCTGGCAGCTGGAAGAGAGTGGAATGTCACACACTGCTAGAAGGCCTCTTTCTTACCTGGGCAACAGAGATGAAGACAGAATGTCAACAGTGTACATTAAAAATGACTTTCAGAGACGTGGGGTTCTTGACTCCTGTACAGCAGTCTTCTTTTTCTGCCCCTCAAGTTAATGCCAGGAGGACAACCTAAGCCATGACTTAAATCTATATATTGCTTGAATATGATGGTGCAGAGCCAGAATATTGTGTGAGAGATACTGATTCACCATCAACCCAACCTTTGTTGTTGAATCTCTTACACACATACCTAACAGGTGTGTACCCTTAAGTGAACAACTTGACTTATTTTTCACAGTGAGCCCATCTGTGTAACCTTTACTTGGCTCAATAAACAGAATTACACCTGAGGACTTCATCTAGTTCGTTATGTCCCTGCTCCTCCCCACTACCCCACCCTCCAGGGCATCCAGCTCTGCCTTCTAATAGCAGAGATTAATACTTTGCTACCTGTTGTATGCTTTTGTGTGTGATATCTTTTGTTCATCCTTCTGTCAGGTGAGACTCACTCATCATAGTGCTACAGTAGATTATTTTTAATCTCCTAGTCTTCACTTTAAATCAATTCACATTCTCAGAGAAGGTAATAGTCAGGTAACATAGCTCATTAGACTTTAGACAATTCTTTAATCAGGGCTATAGAAGACCTCCAAGTTCTTAACTTACTATTAAATTGTATCTGGTTTTGAAAGCCATTGGTATGTTAAAGAGGAAGCCTCATGTTAAATCAAATGTTGGGATTTTTTAGAGACAGAAACTTGGGGAGCATACCGTCTACTCCCTCTATGATAAGAAACATCCTTTCTACCCGCAAGTGATAGAACTAGAGCTGTTGTAGGTCCTTGGCACATTTGTTGAAAAGCGTACTGACAAAGGGAAGGGTTGTTTGAACTGCCCCAGGACAGTGTCTCTCATCTGAATTTGTCACTGCTTGGTAACTTGACTGTAGGCTTGCCTTCTCCATACAGTAAGACTCTTGGCCACCAGAGGCACCATGGCTACTTTGACCTTCCAGCTGCAGAGTGATCCTGTGTGGAGAATTACTTGGAGAAGGGAGTGTGCTGTTCCTAGAAGAAAGTTGTTGCTAGCCATCCACATCACTTTGAGATAGACACGAAAGGCTAGAGCAAGAAAGGAAAAGTCATTTCATGAAAGCTGTTTGGAGTTCTGAAACACGTTCTCCTGACTGGTGGCTAAACTGGAGACTGATTATTTTTAGGGTGCCTACAGGTGTTTGAAGCTCTAACCTGAACCAGTTCAGAACTGATTCTCTTTGTATGTCCACACTCATCGATCCCTTTCATCCCTATTGTCCTTAGATCCAAAAAATGCCAGTTACTTTCATCTATCAAAGTGTTCTTCAACCTTTTATAAAGTACCTGGATGGTGTTTTCAAATGAAAGTGGGAAAAGATCTCATATGTATGCAAGGAATAGTATGTATTTATGAATCCATAAAAGTACGCCGAAAACGTATGAAAGAGATGCCTATCAATTCCTGATTGCTGAACTCTCAGGGTGTGGAGGGAGGTAGAATGGGATTGGGAACACAATGGAGATTTTAACTTTATCTGTGGTGTGTTAGGAATTTTATTTTAACATAATTCAGGAGAAAATAACAAAATGTCCCAATGACAGAGAGAAAAAACACCTCTCTCTGATTTATAGAAAAAGTAAGCATGGACTATATGGCGTTTTTCTAGGACAGCATGAGGAGGTGGCACAGAGCAGTGGTTCTGGTTCAGGTACAGGTTCCATTGCCTAGTGTCCCAGGCTCCATTTTCCTCATTTGTAAAGACTAGAGCAGTTGCTTTGATAGTATCATAATTCCTGCTTCATGTCATTACTGTAGTATTTTATAAAAAGTTAATATGCATAAAATGTTTAGAACAGCATCCAATGCATAAGCATTTAGTAAATATTACCCGTTATTATTAATGGGGACAGGAATGACTTCCGAACATGGGCGCATGTGTCTCATTTTGTTTTTCTTGAACAGTAAGGTTATATGGCATATGTGGCATATACTAAGCCCCACTGCCTTACCTTGTTTCAACCTTATAGGTAGTTCTTCATAGGTATGGAAACCAAGGGTCAGTAAAGTAACTTGATTAGACATCATCAGCCAGCAGATGATCCAGTGGGATTAGAACCAGGCTCTGGAACTTCAAAGCCCCTGTTTTTCCTCTTGCCCTGTTTTCTTGCAGTGCTGAACCCTGGGTCTTGTACATGCTAGGAAATTGCTCTGCCATGGAACTCAGAGCTCTAGTTCTTGACCTCAACATTCATTAATGGCACACATGCTTATCTTTCTTATACAGCTTCCAGAGAAGTCAAAAACATTGTCTAAATTTAGCTATTTGATGTGATGATGTGATTTAGAATTGGGTATATAAAATAAGTAAAGGTCAATTTTAATAATTAGCATCTTTGGTTACCATATGTTATAGTGTCTACTCTGTACTAGAGACCATGGCTAGTGCTTTACAGAAACTGCATTCTAGTAAATTCATATTTCTAGCTTTTATTTATCCTGTCATTTTTTTCATTTTATTTCTTTCATAGTTTAGAAAAATTGAAAGCAAACCGCATGCTTAAATCATTTAGTCAGGGTGACTTTGTACAGTTAGGCAAAGCAAATCATTCTTGTAATATCCTTAAGATGAGGTCACACACACACACACACACACACACACACACACACACACACACACACACACACACACACACACACACACACACACACACACACACACACACACACACACACACACACACACACACACACACACCCCTATCCAAGTAAGCAAATCATTCTTGTAATATCCTTAAGATGAGGTCACACACACACACACACACACACACACACACCTATCCAAGTAAGCAAACAAAACCACTTACAAGTAAAAATCATTCTTGTAATATCCTTAAGATGAGGTCACACACACACACACACCCTATCCAAGTAAGCAAACAAAACCACTTACAAGTCAAAATTCTTTGTCTCTGTGAGATTCAATTTTTTTTTGAATAGGGGTTAAAGCATTCTTGTTCTGTATTGCTTTCTGTTGCCTTTCACTTTTAGTAGTTCTTATTTAAAAATCATACAGAGATGGCAGTGTCCTAACAGGGGGAGTATCTTAGCTTGATTTACCTTTATGAGCAGCACATTGTGTCCTAAGCACCTGCTGTGGGGATGGAACTTGAGTAATCAAGACTTACTTACTTCCCAGGTGATCAGACTCTGAGAGTTTGGGACATGAAGACCACAGGAGTCCGAATTGTGATCCCAGCACATCAGGCTGAAATCTTGAGTTGTGACTGGTGTAAATATAATGAGGTACATGTGTGGCTCCATTTTGTGTGGCTGCTCTTCCTAATGTTGAAACGATCAGTTTTGTTTGTCTTTGTTTATGTGGACTTGGGTGGACCATTAAGTAAATGCAGTCCCTTTTGTTTCTAATTAGTGATTGTGACTGACATGCATTAGCATTAATTGAATCTAAGTGCTCATAAAGCAGGAAAAGTAAAAAACACAAATTCTCAAAAGTTCAGCAGTGCAGCCCTTCTAGTTTGTTTTGGGAAAGTGCTTTATAATTTTTGTAATTTTCTCCTTCCTTCCTTCTTTTCTTCCTTCCTTCCTTCCTCCCTCTCTCCCTCCCTCCCTCCCTTCCTTCCATCCTTCTTTCCTTCCTTCCCTCTCTCTCTCTCTTTTTCTTTCTTTCTGTGTGTGATTGCTCTTCACCCTGACACTTTGTATCATCTTTTGCTTTACTTTCTTTTTCATTTCACTAATCTAGACTGATGAACTTTTTGTAATTTGATTTTTAATGACAGTCTTGATGTTTTAAAATTTTTCTTTCATCTTCTTTTATATGCCTAATTTCCAAATTTCTCTATGATAGCCATGTCCATGTGTAACTGTTTTCAAAGCTTCAGCCACATGAGCAAAGAATTGAAAATAGAAAGAGATTTAATATATGCAAATGTACTGACTGTTTTTTTCTTTCTTTCTTTTTCTTTTTTCTTTATTTTTGCCAGTTTTGGGGCATGAACTCAGGTCCTGGGCACTGTCCCTGAGCTTCTTTTGCTCAAGGCTAGCACTCTACCACTTGAGCCACAGCACCACTTCTGGCTTTTTTTATTTATGTGGTACTGAGAAATTGGGCTTCATGCATGCTAGGCAAGCATTCTACCACTAAGCCACATTCCCAGCCCTACTTACTGTTTCTGTACCAGTGTTTTGTTTTGTTTTGTTTTGTTTTTGGTTTTGTTTTTTGGGGGGGGTCCAGTCATGGGGCCTGAACTCTGGGCCTGGGCGCTGTCCCTCAGCTCTTCAGCACAAGGCTAGCACTCTACCACTTAAGCCACAGTGCCACTTCCGACTTTTTTCTTTTTGCTTATGTGGTGCTGAGGAATCGAACCCAGGGCCTCATGCATGCAAGGCAAGTGCTCTACCACTGAGCCACCTTCCCAGTCCCACCAGTGGTTTTTGACTGCAAAAAAAATTGTCAAAACACATAAACCCTATTTTCTAATTTTAAATTAACAGAAGAACATTATACTGGCAGACTCATTTACATAAAAAGAAAGAAAAAGTAGTACATATTTAGTAGTAATACTTGATTTATGTGAGAATGTCAGTGCTGATGGCTGCAGTTTCAATTTTGACCATCACAAGTGAATTTTCCTTACAAGAAAATTAAATTGTGGCATATGTGATAATTCAGTAATGTGAAAAAGATAATGTTATATACTTTATTGTGATCAAAACTTTTTATAATCATTGCAACTTTCATGCAAATGATCTTATATTAAAGCCTCATGTATCTAGACAATGAATTGCTGTTCGGGTAGATGTAGAGTAGGCTGAGCACTGTCTCTTCAGCCAGGAGCTCTGGGCTCACCACAAGTTCTAGGTAGCAGAACATGTAAAGACTTAATATAGATCAACTGCAATGTTGTCATAGTTGACCCTTCTCTGGATTGTTTCCAGAATTTGCTGGTGACAGGAGCTGTGGATTGCAGTCTGAGAGGCTGGGATTTAAGGAATGTACGACAACCAGTGTTTGAACTTCTTGGTCACACCTATGCTATTAGAAGGGTGAAAGTAAGATTTTACATTTGCTTTTAATATATAGATGAAAATATAAATATAATCAGTAAAGCATACATAAAAGAGTATTTTGGTGTTTATGGATTGTTTTGTTGAATTTATTTTTTATTTAGCAATTCTTGGTCCAGCCCAGGGCTTGTTGACTCTAGCAACTGCTCTCCTACTGAGCTACATTCCCTGCTGTTGGTTTTTTTAGATAGTATTGTTATGTAGTCTAAGCTGGCTTAGAACTCTCAATCCTCCTATGTACTCAGTACTCTGGGATTTGATTCCTTTTTCTTCTGGTCATCAATATTAAGAACAAAAATTCACTCAGATATTTGAATGCTTATTGAATGATTAGGACAATGTGAATATTCAGTATATTAAGTTAGATAAAAATGTTTTTCTTATCCTATTACCCCCTAATATATTTTAAGATTATTTCCTAACAGTATCAGTTTACCTTTAGTATTACAATTCTTTATACTTTTCTATTCAGTAGGAAATTCTCTACTTTTTTGAGATTGATATAGAGATGATTAATTTTGTCTTTGACATAGTGATAACTGAATATTTACAAATAAGTAGGATATAGGAAAATTTCTTCTCTATTACAACAGCAGAGAATGAAGTAACTTTTTAAAAAAGTAATAAGGGCTGGGAAGGTGGCTCAGTGGTAGAGCGCTTGTCTTGCATGCCTGAGGCCCTGGGTTCGATTCCTCAGCACCACATAAGCAAAAAGAAAAAAAAAAGCCAGAAGTGGTGCTGTGGCTCAAGTGGTAGAGCGCTAGCATTGAGCTGAAAAGCTGAGAGGCAGCGCCCAGACCCAGAGTTCAGGCCCCACGACTGGACCCAAAAAAAAAAAAAGTAATAAGTTAATTTCTCAGTTCTTATTTAGGTGCATTCTTCTGTGTTACTGTGGAAAATACTTTAATTATTTTGGGGAGGTTATTCATTAATGGCTAAAAATGTATCTTATTAATATTTTCTATAGGGTAGTCAGACCCAATCCTATAGTTAAAATTCTAAATCTCTTTTAAATTAATATTTAAGTTTTATTGACTATTATTCAGGCATATAAGATATAGTACTATATTTTGCTTTGTTTAGATTTTAATGGTAGTCTTATGTAGAAAAGTTTTATTAGTAAAAACATAGTTTCTGTGTATATTTTAGAGTGGTTGTGAGAATGAAGTAGGGTAGTGTAGTGAAAATGCCTTATGAACTGTAAAATGCTATTCAAATGCAGTTATATATGTGTGTATTAACTTACTGAAATGATGGTGAGTCTGATATGAACCTAGTGCTAGAGCTCCTGCCTACCATGCATGAGGCCTGAGTTAGAGTCCCAGCACCGCCTCCCCCCCAGATTAAATAAAAAAATGATTAACTAAAATGTTGGTAAGATAAACACTAAATAAATATAACTACAAAGGGCACCTTCTGTGGTATATTTATTGTATTGGTAATGTTACTTGACAGTAAATTTGTCATTTTTCTCCTTGCAGTGATTTTTCATTGTTCTCAATATGTAAATCGCGTAAAAAGTATTTATAATCCTAGATAGTTAGGAACCTGAGATCCAGAAGATTGTGGTTTTAAGGCAGCCTGAATAGAAAAGTCTCCATCCCTAAAATAACCAGAAAAAAGCCCAGGAGGCATGGCTCAAGCAAGCAAGTCAAGCAAGCATGAGACCCTGAGTTTAAACCCCAGTACTGGGGAAAAAATATTTTAAGAATATTTTAATATTTAAATGTTTATTTTGATACTTATTTGTAGAATGAATAATAAAGCTAGTAAATTCTATAATTAAATATTATGTCTTATCACATACTTAAATTTCTTAATTTTGCAGAAACATGTTTGGGCAGCCAATAAGAGTGTTTATTTAATTTCTTTCAGACTATCAATGTTTTGGGAATACTTATTACAAATAAACTTTTAAAAGCTTGAGGGATAATTTTCTCTGGAGAATGTAAGAATAAATATTTTTCCTATAAATGGATTTTTTTTTCGGTCCTGGGACTTTAACTCACGGCCTGGGTGCTGTCCCTGAGCTCTTCAGCTCCAAGGCAAGCGCTCTACCACTTGAGCCACAGTGCCACTTCCAGTTTTCTGGTGGTTTATTGGAGAGAAGAGTCTCATGGACTTTTCTGTCCAGGCTGGCTTTGAACTGTGATCCTCAGATCTCAGCCTCCTGAGTAGCTAGGATTACAGGCATGAGCCACTGGTGCCCAGCTTATAAATGGATTCTTAAAAGGCTAAAACACTTTAACTCAAAATATATAAGGTTCAGAAAGACATACTTTTTAAGTGACAGATCTGAATAACTTGTTTATTATAATAATTCATGGAATGACTACAGGAAATAGCATATTATAATTACAGCTAACTTTTTCTTTAATTTTCTTTTTTAGTTTTCACCATTTCATGCTTCAGTGCTGGCCTCATGTTCCTATGATTTTACTGTAAGGTATAGTATTTTTTTAAATACATATTATTATCAAGTACCAAGTAAATTTGTATCTTTGCAATTTTTCTGAAAGATAATGTATTTATTTTATTAATAATAAGCATCTTTCCTGCTGTTCAATCTTACTTTCTTTTAAAATATTAACTTTTTAAGCCCACATTCTGTGTCTGATATACTTTTTTTGTAAGGACACTCTAAGCATTTGGATTCACTTTGGCTGTTATATTAGTCACTCACATCTCTCTCTTTATTTCTCATTTATTTGATGTGCTAGAATCTATATAGCTTGGTGTAAAATGCGTTTCTATTAGAATAAATTATAACAGTGTCTTGAGAGAAACTTGGTTTTCTGGATTGATCCAATATAAGCCATTAGACAAACTTGGAAATACAGGACTGGAAGCATGGCTTAAATGGTAGAGCATCTGCCTACTAGCAAGCCCAAGGCACAGAATTCAAACCCCAGTATGGCCAAAAAGAAAAATGGAGGAGGAAGGAAAGAAAGGAAGGAAGGAAGGAAGGAAGATATAAAATCCAAATTAGGAAATATAATCACACTTAGATTGCTCACCATATACCCCAAACTCCAGACTTGAACTGTGGAACTAGATTACTAGCTGGAGGTTAGAGTTGTATAGTGGGTTTGAACACATTAACTTAGTGATAATTCAGTGCATAAGAATAAGTATGCTAAAAAATGAGTATGTAAAGAAAAGCAGAACAGGAGGAAGTTGATGTTGGAGGGAGGAAGGAAGCAGCCCACTAGAGACAGGAGTAGAACCCAGAGCAGTGTGTCACAGAAACTGCAGAACAGGAGATGAGCAAAGATGTTGAATTCTCCAGATAGGATAAGCAAGATGGATAGGGAGCTCAGAACCTTCTGCTACACATTGTCACATGGTGTCACCCATGGGAACAAAGGCATTTCAAATACATAATCTAATCCTTGAATTTCCAAAACTTTTCTGGTGTCTGAAACTAGTCGCCAGAAGCCCTACTCAACCGATACTGTATATTTGATCTTTTGGTGATTGCATTGTTATAATCGTTAATGACTTTAATTGGGTCTTCCTAATTTGTAGGTTCTATTTGTCTAGGTACATCTTTAAATTTTTTTGGTGTTTTATTTGTTACTAAAGGGTGATGATGACCTCCCATATGTTTATTTTAGAATTGTAACTATGGCCCTAACCCTACTGACTATTCCCTATTTTATTTATGTCCTTAAGTACCACTTTTCCCTCCTAAACACTAAGTTGGGAAATGCCTTGGTTTGAAGATACAAATTTGTCTCAGGAATATTTGGTACAACTGCATGTGAGCTGTATTGTTCTAAAATCTTGTAGGTACCAAACCATACTCAGAAAGCATTAGGCTTTATATCTTCTCTGACTGCTGAGGAATAGTAGAGATTGGGAGAGGGGTTTAGTGTTCTTGGGGGACAAATGGCCGGGGTCATGCTTTCATGCTTTCATGGCATGCTTTATGCTTTTATTCACAGGCATGTGGAAAAATTAAGACTATAATTACATAAGAAGGGATCTTTAATATTTAATTTAAAAGATCTTTAAATAAGCAATTGCCCTACATAGAGACCAGGTTTCTTTAGATATAATGGGGGAAATTCGTAATATCTGTCCTCATAAGCTCACAAGGTGATTGTAAGAATTATATGAGGTCATCCTTAAAAATACTATGATAATTCTTAATTATTTTTCCAGCTCTTGCTATGAAGCCATCTCCTCAACTTTTATTTGGTTTGGGGGGCTCAAGCATAAACTTCAATTGCTACATAAGTCTGAAAAATTATATTAAGTTGTCTTCTCCATTATTAGGGAATGAATTTATTTGCTAGGAAAGTATTCTACCACTTGAGCCAGGCTGACTTAAAATTGAGATCCTCCAGATCTCAGCCTCTTGAGTAACTTCATTACTACTTCAAGATTTTTTCTTGTTATAGACCTTATTATGTGGTTTATTTCTTGTTCATTCAGTTTTGGTAAGTAGTGCATCTAGAATTAATCCATTTCTTCCACATGCTTGAATTTATTAGTATATGTTTTAAAAGTATTCCTTAATAACTCTCTGGATTTCATTGGTATTTGTTGTGATATCTCTGTTTTTATCTCTGATTTTTTTTTCTACTTCTTTAGGTCAGTTTAGCTAAGGGTTTATCCATCTCATTTATTTTTTCAAAGATACAACTTTTCATTTCATTGATTCTTTGTACAGCTACTTGAGAGGCTGAGGTAGGATAATTGCAAGTTTGAGGTTAGCTCAGGCAGAGGTAGCAGTGATACCCAGTGATATCCTGTCTCAAATAACAGATTTAAATTTGTAATCCCATTGAAGTCTAAGACTAGTATGGGTACAAAGTTAGTGAGACCTTGTCTCAAAAAATAAGTGAAATGTAGTCGTTCAGACGTGTACGTAATCCCAGCTATATGGGAGGATGTTTATGAGGGTTACTGACCAAATATTCAAGATCCTGTCCAAAAAAGTAACTAAAGTCAAAAGGACTAGGAATACGGGTCACATGGTAGAATACTTGTCTAGCTAGTACAAAGCCCTCAGTAACCCCCTGCCCCCCCCCCCCCCCACACACACACGTTTCCTGACTTGTGTTGGTTCTACTTAAGAACCAAGCAAAAACTGCTTTGAACTTTGTTCTTTTCTGGGTTAGTGATGCAGCTTCGGTGAGTCAGTTCCAGCCTGCCCAGGGAAGCAGCCAACACTGCAGTGTGCTGTGTTTCTGAACTAGAATGTTGAGAAGGCTATGTGTGGTGTAGTAATTGAGATTGTGTCTTATCATTTCTGTTTGCAATGGGTTTACTATTATAAGTTGAGGAGCATCTGTAAACATTGTTAATTGAAGTGGATCACTTTCTGCCTGGGCTGACCCTGAACTGTGATCCTTCCTATCTCTGCCCCCCAAGTGGCTAGGATCACAGATACAAACAGGTATGAATTATTCCTGGCATGATTGCTTATTTTTTCTTTTTTGCATCCTATTAAATAGGTCATTTCACAAAGAGAAATTAGCAAAATAGATATGTATGACAATAAAAGTAAAAACTGCTGACATATTATGTTTCATAATATTACCTCTTCTACATTCTCAAATAGATAAAGATATGACTTTGCTAAGATGAGAAAGCTACAATGATGAGTTTCGACTCCTTTTATTTATTTATTTATTTATTTTTAGTGCCAGTCCTGGGGCTTGAACTCAGGGTGTGGGTGCCGTCCATGAGATTTTCTGCTCCAGGCTATTGCTCTACCACTTGAGCCATTACTCAGTTACTGGCTTTATTGGAGATAAAAGTCTCACGGACTTTTCTGCCCAGGCTGGCTTTGAACCATGATCCTCAGATCTCAGCCTTCCAAGTAACTAGGATTACACTGGTGTCTAGTGGTTTCACAATATTTCTATAAGTATTCCAACCTGTAAAGTATCATATAAATGGCATTTGATAGTAATAAACCAAACCAGTTATTTTTTTGTATCTTTTGTTGTCAAGAAAAAATATGAAGAGAATTTTAATTTCCATGATAACAAACTGTCCTCACCCCTGGTGGGCATGATGTGAGCCTCTCTCAGCAGTGTTAACACCGCCAGTACTAATGATTCAGCTCTTAAACTTGAACGCAACTTCTCAGGATTGCACAGCTTACTCTATTTTTATACTCAGGTGTATTTGCAGAATGTGTCTTATCTGTAGCCAGGTTGGAATATCTTGCTGAGAGAGTCTAAAATGGAAAGCTTCTAGGGAAGTAGAGGCAAGGCTGAGGGAATGCCAGGTCTGTCAACCTTTTTGCTGTAATGGGAGATGTGTGGCCACAAACAGGAGTGGAGCAATGGAAGACAACTGAGAGGAGTGATTTGGGGTCGGCATATTATTGGGTATCACAAATTGCAGAGCCAGACTGCGTTCCACTAGCTGTATAAACTTGGCCCTGTTATTGTAAAACAACATGACTCCATTTTGTCCCCTGTGACCTAGACACCAGAGAGCATTCACTGAAGAATTACTGTGATGATTCAGTGACTTCACATATACGAGTATGGTACCTGGGAAGTGCTAGAGATATGGGAGCATTTTCCTCATCTTACATTTGCTGCTGTTATCAGCATTAATTGGCAGAATGGGTGGTGACAGAAGACTATCTCTTAGGGCTTCAAAGGTGAAAGAATCATTTCTGTCTTGCAGTAGTAAAATCAGCCTCAATTTGGCCTTTGATTGTCCTTGGCAGTTCAAGAACAAAGTGGTGGGAGGTTGTCTGGACTCAGCCTTGTCCCTCCACATCCTTTGTTCTTTGGAGAACTTTGGGAACATTCCCTGAGCTAGACATCTCATGCTGTGGGGTGAGTGTCTGAACCCTTGACCACGAAGACACAGGGAGGAAGGGAGCCTCCTCCCTTTCTATGCTATGAAATAAAGGAAGCGCTGCCTGCCTTGTGAGCATGTCCAGAGGTTTCATGAGGTAGACTCTGTAAATGGTCTTGGCACATAATTGGTCCTTAAAAAATAATAGATGTTTTAAGTGAGAAGACCAATAGTAATAATAAGTTTCTTATTTTAAACTGTAAGTAGCTTAGGGAAAGTTGAGAGATTAATTATTTATGCCTTATCTAGCATTATATTAATAAGATAATTATGTTACTTCAAGCCCCCAAGGAGCTTTGTGAATAGGAATTTTTATTGTACTGTGCAGCTGAGGTAGGGAAAGGAAACCTTGTGAACTTGGAGCAGCAAGAACCAGAACAGTGCTCATACCACACAAAGGAGATATGGGGACATTTCACTCAAAGCCACAGCCAAGCGACCTCATCTGCTTCACTCTATGTTGCTGAAATAGGTCCTCTGAAGCACTCTATGTTACATATAAATATTTGCTAGAAAATTGTTCCTATGGAGGCAGCATGATGTAATAGGAAAAGATAAGAGTTTACAGTTTAACGTTTTTCCATTACCAACTGCACTATTCATAATGTATAA